TTCGGGCCACTCGTCTTCTAGTTTGCTCTCTGGGTATGGTCGCCAAGAATCACCCATACGAAGCCGCCCAAGACCAGAAACACCAGAAGCCAATGGAAGAGGTTCTGCAACGACTCTTTGATGGTACCCCGATATGGGTCGCTGAACTGCCGCCGCACCTCACGGTTTTCAGACGAAACAGTGGAGGATCAACCGCCTTTCATGCGAGAGACAAGCCCCAACGCCAAAAAAACACACACAATGTACACAACAGGCAACCCTTGGTTCATGATTCGGGGTCCCCAAACCCCATAGACCGACCCTGAACCCCTAAAACCCTAAACCCTAAACCCCTAAAACCTAAACCCTAAACCTACAGGGGTTAGGTTCCGTGAACCCTAAACCTGCAGCGCTCAACCTGGCCGGAAGGCTTTGTGGGAGCCGAAATGGGAGACTGATCACGATTTAGGGCTTAGGGTTTTAGGGATTTAGGGATTTAAGGATTTAGGGTAGATAGCTCATGATAAATCCTGCACTACCCATAAAGCCCTGCGTCGAAAGTCCTAAACTCTAGGTCATCTGAAACCTAAGGTGTAAAGTTCCAGTCCGCATCAACAACCTTGTAATCTCTAACAACGGCAGCGTACAAAAGAAAGCAGCTGTACAAACAAAAATACACCCCTGCTGCCTGGACCCCAAAGCGATAATGAAATGCTCAATCCCTCGATCCCAAAGCCAAAACCCGAAACCCCCAAGCCCTAATCCCAAAGCCTAGAGACTCAACGAAGCCCTCTTAATTTGCTCTCCGTTGCCTGGTATCAGAAAACGCTATCACGTCCGTTACGCAGAAAGACTTTGAACCCTAAACCCTAGTTGCCCTAGTTTGTAAAGATGACCCCACAACCGAACCCCTGAACCCGTGCTCATCGACTATGGAGGAGACCCTCAAGGGAATCATTCTACAAGATAAACTACGAAGTGTACTGTACAAATCCAGATAGGCACTTCTTAGCACTAAAACAAAGACTCCAAAGTATAAGCCTACAGCTCTGGATCGAAAAAGCCCTTACATGGCAGATCCTCAACCATGGGAAAGCCAAGTACACAACAGGAAGACAACATATGGGTGGTTGTCAAAATTATGATCCCTTTTGGGGTCCTTAAAAAGATACGGCACCTATTATTTAGGGCACCCCAAAAGGGACCATAGTTTTGACAACTACCCATATAAATGGAGTGAACTTTAAGCCCTGAAACATTCGCGACTTCGCTCACAGTGCCAGAAAGTCCCCATCGCACTTTCCTCGGAGCGAAGGCCGTTCTCGGACTTGAAAGTCCCGCTTTAGGCTGCGAAGAAAGGTTGAATTAGTGTGTGGGCTCACTGTGGGGTTAGGGTTTAGGGTTTAGGGCTTAGGGTTTAAGGTTTAGGGTTTAGGGTTTAGGATTAGGTTAGGGGTGTTTTTCAGGGTTCAGTTTCGAGTTCACTGCAAGTGTCGGGTTGGTGAGGTTGCTACATCGCTTCATGAGGGCGGCCCTACGTCAGCAAGGGGGTTCCTTTTGTCTCCCTGTGCCGATGTAGAAGGGCTTCACGTAAGGGCTGTGAGGGAGCTGTTGAGGCTTAAGGGTGTACTAAATACAGCAATTATAATAAGGAACCCCCCAAATAGTATTGGTAATGATTCAGGCTCCTATCTTAGGATTTGCTGATTATGGTAACCTTCTTGACACTAGCTTGCAGTAAAGGCTCTCTCTACACAGGTACCACCTTCGAGCATGTGAATTAGGACTAGGATAGCATCCCAAGATCTCTCTACAGCTCCGATCCCGAACCCAGAAGCCCTGAACCCAAAAGCTCTGAACCCTAAACCCTACACCCTACAACCCCAAGCCCTCAACCTTAAACCCCAAACCCGAGCCCGAAACAGAAAACCCTAAACCCTAAACCCTAAGCCCTAAACCCTAAACCGACCCAACAGCCCTAAACCCGAAGCCCTAAACCCCTAAAGCCCTAAAGCCCTAAGCTCAAAGCCCAAAAGCCCTAAACCCGAAGCCCTACACCCTAAACCCGAAGCCCTAAACCCCTAAAGCCCTAAACCCTAAACCCAAAGCCCTAAACCCAAAGCCTTAAACCCTAAACCCAAAGCCCTAAACCCTAGACACTAAACCCTAAACCCTAAGCCCTAAACCCCAAGCCCTAATACCCTAAACCCTAAACCCCCTAAAATTGGTTTGGGGTTGAAGGCTCACCCTAAGGGTCCATGTACCCAAATAGTAAATACTTTGGCCCCCAAGTACCTATATAGGGACTACTTTAAGGCCAAAGTATATACTAAACCCTAAACCCCGAAAACCCTAGACCCTAAACCCTATAAACCCTAGACCCTAAACCCTAAACCCTGGACCCTAAACCCTAAAACCCTAGACCCTAAACCCTAAACCCTAAAACCCTAAACCCTAAACCCTAGACCCTAAACCCTAAAACCCTAAACCCTAAACATGGACCCTTAGGCTCAGTCGTTTGGGCTCAAAATGCCCCGCGCACCTTCTCACGACGCAAATCCTGCCTCAGGCTCTGCACAGCCCTTTTCGGGGTTTGGGGTTCAGGGGTTTATAGGGGTTTAGAGTTTAGGGTTTAGGGTCTTTGAGGTTTAGAGTTTAGAGTTAGTTTAGGGTTTAGAGTTTAGGGTTTACGGCTTATTATAGGGTTTATAGGGTTTTTAGGGTTTAGGGTTTAGGTTTTAGAATTAATTTAGGGTTTGGAGTTTAGGGTTTTAGGGTTTAGGGTCATGTACAACCCCCTGAAACTCAACGTTTCCCTAAACCTCAGACCCCAAACACGAACCTGTAAACCCTAAACACCCAAACCTCAATGTCTATAACCCAAAAGCCCTAAACCCAACAGCCCTAAACCTCAACAGCCCTAAACCTCAACAGCCCTAAACGCCTAAACCCCTGAACCCAAAACCCCCAAAACCCCAAACCCCAAATCCCCCAACCCCCAAACCCAGAGCCCCAGACCCCAACAGCCCTAAACCTCAACAGCCCTAAACGCCTAAACCCTCAACCCTAAACCCTAAACCTCGACAGCCCCAAACGCCTAAACCCTCACCACTGCGGCGGAAAATCTTCAAGTTCTGTAGCTGCTCGTGGCGGGCCTCACTGCAAAAAACGTCAACAAAAGGGGTTTACCCATAGGCCCAATAGTAGTTCCTTTTTGGGGTTCATATTTTCAATCCTATAAGGTAGTCCCAAAAAGGAACTACTAAGGGGCCTATGGGTAGGGCGCAGGGCTGTTTAGGATTTTTGGGGTTTTGGGTTTAGGGCGTTTTGGGTTTAGGG